CAGTGTTTACGTTGATCTGAGCCGGGTGACTCTTCGGTCCCATTTTTAGATGCTGCAGTATTGAATCATTGCACAATCTCTCTGCACAGATGGGCCCAACACCTGTGGTTTTATTTTTAGTTTTGCCTCCGGCAAATTTACGGTTTTCTATCGGCTCTGTGTCATGTTTTCCTGAAATGTTGATGCTGCGCTATTGACAATATGCAAAATCCAGCCTGATAGAAAGAAACTTGGAGCGGGGCCGGAGCGCGGGATTCGGAAATAGTTCGGCTTTTTATAGAAACGTAGGCTCGTGCGTGTGATAGGTACTTATTTTCTGGCTGTTGTCAGGAACCCAACAATAACCAGGTTACACGAGGTCGCTTTCTGCTTTTAGAACGACTACGATTTGTCTTGTCATTTACACCAAAGCTGAGGTTTAACCCTTTCGCTGTGTTTTTTGCAGACGCGTTTAAAAAAATCATTTCAGGCCTGAAGATGACTCAAAACCCCCCAAACACGATATATTTTCTGAAAGCGGACACCCTAGAGAATACAACAGCGGTAGTTACAATTTTTTTATGTCACGTGATATTACCGCAAAGGTCTAGGAAATTATTATTATTATACAGGATTTATGGCACTAACAGTTTGCTCAGCGCTTTACAATATAACGGGAGACAATACAGCAACAATACAGTTCAATACAAGAGGGATAGGAGGGCCCTGATCCTGGGAGCTTACAATCTAGGAGGGAGGGGCTAGTGGTACAAAAGGTAGTAACTGTGGGGGATGGACTGGTAGGAGGAATAGAAGATTCCATTATTAGCTGAGGGCAGGATAGGCTTCCCTGAAGAGATCGGTTTTCAGAGATCGCCTAAAAGTGAGCAGAGTAGGCGATAGTCTGATAGATTGGGGTAGAGAGTTCCAGAGGATGGGGGAAGCTCTGGAGAAGTCCTGGAGACGAGCATGGGAGGAGGAGACAAGGGAGCTAGAGAGTAGGAGGTTGTGCGAAGAGTACTGTTTGGGTGATATTTAGAGACAAGATTGGTGATGTAATTTGGGGCGGAGTTATAAATGGCTTTATACGTTATTGTTAGTGTTTTGAATTTTATCTGTTGGGCAATGGGAAGCCAGTTGAGGGATTGGCAGAGAGGGGTGGAGGACACTGAATGTAGGCCAGTGGAGGGATTGGCAGAGAGGGGTGGAGGACACTGAATGGAGGCCAGTGGAGGGATTGGCAGAGAGGGGTGGAGGACACTGAGTGGAGGCCAGTGGAGGGATTGGCAGAGAGGGGTGGAGGAATGGAGGCCAGTTGAGGGATTGGCAGAGAGGGATGGAGGACACTGAATGGAGGCACTGAATGGAGGCCAGTGGAGGGATTGGCAGAGAGGGGTGGAGGACACTGAATGGGGGCCAGTGGAGGGATTGGCAGAGAGGGGTGGAGGACACTGAGTGGAGGCCAGTGGAGGCCAGATTGGCAGAGAGGGGTGGAGGACACTGAATGGAGGCCAGTGGAGGGATTGGCAGAGAGGGGTGGAGGACACTGAATGGAGGCCAGTGGAGGGATTGGCAGAGAGGGGTGGAGGACACTGAGTGGAGGCCAGTGGAGGGATTGGCAGAGAGGGGTGGAGGAATGGAGGCCAGTTGAGGGATTGGCAGAGAGGGATGGAGGACACTGAATGGAGGCCAGTGGAGGGATTGGCAGAGAGGGGTGGAGGACACTGAATGGGGGCCAGTGGAGGGATTGGCAGAGAGATGTGGAGGACACTGAGTGGAGGCCAGTGGAGGGATTGGCAGAGAGGGGTGGAGGACACTGAATGGAGGCCAGTGGAGGGATTGGCAGAGAGGGGTGGAGGACACTGAGTGGAGGCCAGTGGAGGGATTGGCAGAGAGGGGTGGAGGACACTGAATGGAGGCCAGTGGAGGGATTGGCAGAGGGGGGTGGAGGACACTGAGTGGAGGCCAGTGGAGGGATTGGCAGAGAGGGGTGGAGGACACTGAGTGGAGGCCAGTGGAGGGATTGGCAGAGAGGGGTGGAGGACACTGAGTGGAGGCCAGTGGAGGGATTGGCAGAGAGGGGTGGCAGATATAGAACGGTTAGTAAGGTGGATGAGTCTGGCAGCAGCATTCATGATAGACTGAAGAGGGGATCGCCTGTGATGAGGTTGGCCAACGAGGAGGGAGTTACAATAGTCAAGGTGAGATATAACCAGGGAGCGAATAAGTTGCTTAGTGGTTTCCGAGGTTAGGAACGGGCGTATCTTGGAGATGTTGTGGAGGTGAAGTCTACAAGGTTTGGACAGTGAATGGATTTGGAAATGCAAAATTACAGTAAAAAACACACTAAAGTGAATTTTAGGGCAAATCAGCGCAATAAATTACCCAAATGTTTGGTGAAATATAAAAGACGAGGCGAACCGAGTAAATAGATACCCAACATGGCAAACCTTAAATTTGTGTGCGCCTATTAAATGGCAGAAAACTTCAGTGCCCTATATTTTCTATATAAATGAGCTGATGGATCCGTCCCGTCTGAAAGGGGCCTTACATACAATCCCGGTGGCTACAGCCACCACATTGTGTGTAAAATCCCCCGCTGTCAGGCTAGAACGACATACAGACCTGGCGGCAAAAAGGTTAAGTCGCTGCAATGATATGTACAGTTTAACCCCTCGCCTGCCGGGCATTTCTACCCCCTTCCTGCCTACAGGGCACTTCTACCCCCTTCCTGCCTACCGGGCACTTCTACCCCCTTCCTGCCTACCGGACACTTCTACCCCTTCCTGCCTACCGGACACTTCTACCCCCTTCCTGCCTACAGGGCAGTTCTACCCCCTTTCTGCCTACAGGACACTTCTACCCCCTTCCTGCCCACCGGGCACTTCTACCCCCTTCCTGCCCACCGGGCACTTCTACCCCCCTTCCTGTTTACCGGGCACTTCTACCCCCTTCCTGCCCACCGGGCACTTCTACCCCCTCTACCCCCCCCTTCCTGCCTACAGGGCACTTCTACCCCCTTCCTGCCTACCGGGCGCTTCTACCCCCTTCCTGCCCAGGCCAATTTTCAGCTTTTAGCGCTGTCGCACTTTGAATGACAATTGCACGGTCATGCAACACTGTAGCCAGATGAAATTTTTATCATTTTTTTGAGACAGATAGTGCTTTCTTTTGGTGGTATTTAATCACCTCTGGGTTTTTTTTTTTGCTAAACAAAACAAAAATAACTGAAAATTTTGAGAAAAAAAATAGTTTTTTCTTAGTTTTTGTTTTAAAATTTTGTAAATAAGTGATTTTTCTCCTTCACTGATATGCGCTAATAAGGCTGCAGTGATGGGCACTGATACAGTTGCAAGAAAAAGTATGTGAACCCCTTGGGATTACGTGGAGTTTTGCATGAATTGGGCATAAAATGTGCTCTGAACGTCATCTAAGTCACAACAATAGAAGAACACAGTCTGCTGAACATAATACTACACAAACATTAGATGTTGCCATGGTTTAATTGCACATAACATGTAAACATTCACAGTGCAGGGAGGAAAAAGTATGTGAACCTTTGGACTTAATAACTGGTTGACCCTCCTTTGGCAGCAATAACCTCAACCAAACGTTTCCTGTAGTTGCAGATCAGACCTGCACAACGATCTGGAGTCATTTTGGACCACTCCTCTTCACAAAACTGTTTCAGTGTAGCAATATTCTTGGGATGTCTGGTGTGAATCGCTCTCTCAAGGTCATTCCACAGCATTTCAATGGGGTTGAGGTCAGGACTCTGACTGGGCCACTCCAGAAGGCGTATTCTGTGCTGTTGCAGCCATTGTTTTGTTGAATGACTTGTATGCTTTGGGTCATTGTCCTGTTGCATCACCCATCCTCTGCGGAGCTTCAGTTGGCGGACAGATGGTCGTACGTTTTCCTGCAAAATGTCTTGATAAACTCTGGAATTCATTTTCCCATCAATGACAACAATCCATCTAGGCCCTGAGGCAGCAAAGCAGCCCCAAACCATAATGCTCTCTCCGCCATGTTTCACAGTGGGGATGAGGTTTTGATGTTGGTGTGCTGTGCCTTTTTTTCTCCACACATAGTGTTGTGTGTTCTTCCCAAACAACTCAATCTTGGTTTCATCTGTCCGCAGTATATTCTGCCAGTAGTGCTGTGGAACATCCAGGTGCTCTTTTGCAAACTTCAAACGTGCTGCAATCTTCTTTTTGGACAGCAATGGCTTCCTCCGTGGTGTCCTCCCATGTACTCCATTCTTGTTTAATGTTTTCCTTATTGTAGATGTGTCAACAAAAATGTTAGCATGTGCCAGAGATTTCTGTAGGTCTTTAGCTGACACTCTGGGATTCTTCTTTACCTCGTGCAGCATTCTGCGCTGTGCTCTTGCAGTCATTTTTACAGGACGACCACGCCTAGGGAGAGTAGCAACAGTGCTAAACTTTCTCCATTTGTAGACAGTCTGTCTTACCGTGGACACAGGAACATCAAGCCTTTTGGAGATACTTTTGTAACCCTTTCCAGCTTCATGCAAGTCAACAATTCTTGATCGTAGGTCTTCTGAGAGCTCTTTTCTGCGAGGCATGATTCACATCAGACAGTGCTTCTTGAAACCAATAAACCCAAAACAGGTGTGTGTTTTTTAAGGGCAGGACAGCTGTCAGCAACACATCCAATATCATCACACTGATTGGAGTCAAGGTTGGCTCACTCCTGGCTCCAATTAGCTCTGGGAGAAGTCATTAAGCTAGGGCCTCACATACTTTTTCCTCCCTGCGCTGTGAATGTTTACATGTTATGTGCAATTAAACCATGGCAACATCTAATGTTTGTGTAGTATTATGTTCTGCAGACTGTGTTCTTCTATTGTTGTGACTTAGATGACGTTCAGAGCACATTTTATGCCCAATTCATGCAAAACTCCACGTAATCCCAAGGGGTTCACATACTTTTTCTTGCAACTGTAGGTGGCACTGATAGGCATTGACAGGCATCACTGATGGGCACTGAAAGGCAGCACTCATATATGGCACTGATAGGCGGTACTCACTGGCACTGATAGGTGGCACTGATGCACACTGATAGTCGGCACTGACTGGCATTGATAGGTGGCACTGAAACACTGAAAGGCAGCTCAGATGGGCACTGATGTTGCATTGATGTGCATGTGGCATTGATATGTGGCACTGATGGGCACTGGCAGCTGGCATTGATGGGCTGGCACTGACAGGTGGCACTGATGGGTCTACACTGAGCAGTGCCCTGATGATCAGTGTAGATGTCCCCTCTGAGGAATGACGATTACCGGCTCTCCTCCTCTCCTCTGTCAGCGTGACAGCTCGTGGGGAGAGAAATGCCAATAACTGGCATTTCTCTATTTACATGCGATCAGCTGTGATTGGACACAGCTGATCACATGACTGAGCCGAAATCTTCAGCTCTTTCCATTGATCGGTGATCCGCTGTGTCCGAGGGACACAGCGCACCGCCGATCGCCGCACTGCGCGCTCCCGGGAACCACACATGCGCAATTACAATGGGAGGACGTCATATGACGTCATCCCATAACGAGAGAACCGCCTTGCGTCCGTCATTTCCTTATATGGAGGGTGGGAGGCGGTTAACTAAGATGTGTCAAAGTTGAGTTCAGGTGTTCTATTTATTTTTATTTCAGGTACTTATATAGTGCTGTCAATTTACACCGCACTTTACATATATATTGTACGTTCACATCAGTCCCCGCCCCCGAGGAGCGTACAATCTAAGGTCCCTAACTCACATTCATACATACACATGCTAGGGACAATTTACCTACCAGCATGTCTTTGGAGTGTGGGAGGAAACCAGAGTACCCATAGGAAACCCACACAGGCACAGGGAGAACGTGCAAACTCCAGGCAGGTGGTGCTGTGGTTGGAATTCGAACCGATGACTCCTAGTACTGCCAGGCAGAAATGCTAACCATTTAGCCACTGTGGTATTAAGGCGGAGTTCCCTCCCCTGTCACCATTTTCTCTTGGTGTCAGGAAAACTTGTCAGACGTGACTCACACAGATAGCAGAGGAAGGAGGCAGCAGACAGAAATGACACTTAAAGCGGAGTTCCACTCACCTGTCAAATAAATAAAAGTCAGCAGCTGACTTTTAAAAAACAGCCACTTACCTGTCCCTCGGTCCCGTGGTGTGTCCCCCGCAGCCCATTTCAACGGCCGTCCTGTTTTCCAGGAGGCCGGCATCTTCAGTGTGGACACCCGGCTGTGACAGCTTGCGGCGTCACAGCCGGGTACCAATTGCACATGTGCGAGAAGCTCTGCGCTTCATGAATGGCCCCGTAGTCTTCTGGGACCTGCACGTGTCCCAAAAGACTACAGGGAGGGAGGGTAGGAGGACAAGTTCCGCATACCCTCAACCCCCCGTACATCCTGTACGCCCCCCACACCCTGCACACCCTCCACCCCCCGCACATCCTGCACGCCCCCCACACCCTCCACCCCCCGCACATCCTGCACGTCCCCCCACACCCCGCACACTCTGCACGCCCCCCACACCCTCCACCCCCCGCACATCCTGCACGTCCCCCCACACCCCCCGCACACTCTGCACGCCCCCCACACCCTGCACACCCTCAACCCCCCGCACACCCTCCACCCCCCGCACATCCTGCACGCCCCCCACACCCTCCCCCCCGCACATCCTGCACGACCCCGCACACTCTGCACGCCCCCCACACCTCGCATACCCTCAACATCCGCACATCCTGCACGCCCCCCGCACCCTCCACCCCCCGCACGTCCCCCACACACCTCGCACACCCTGCACACCTCACCCCCCGCACACCCTGCACACCCTCCACCCCCCGCACATCCTGCACGCCCCCCACACCCTCCACCCCCCGCACATCCTGCACGACCCCGCACACTCTGCACGCCCCCCACACCTCGCATACCCTCAACCTCCACACATCCTGCACGCCCCCCACACCCCGCACACTCTGCACGCCCCCCACACCCCCACACTCTGCACGCCCCCCCACACACCTCCACCCCCCACACATCCTGCACGTCCCCCCACACCCCGCACACTCTGCACGCCCCCCACACCTCGCATACCCTCAACCTCCGCACATCCTGCACGCCCCCCACACCCCGCACACTCTGCACGCCCCCCACACCCTCCACCCCCCCCCCCACACATCCTGCACGTCCCCCCACACCCCCGCACACTCTGCACGCCCCCCACACCTCGCATACCCTCAACCCCCCGCACATCCTGCACGCCCCCCACACCTCGCATACCCTCAACCTCCGCACATCCTGCACGCCCCCCACACCCCGCACACTCTGCACGCCCCCCACACCTCGCATACCCTCAACCCCCCGCCCATCCTGCACGCCCCCCACACCCCGAACACCCTGCATGCCTCCCACACCCCGCATACCCTGCACGCCCCCCACACCCTGCACTCCCCCCCCCCACACCCCCGCAGACCCTGCATGCCCCCCGCACACCGTGCACCCCCCCCCCACCCCGAACACCCTGCATGCCCCCCACATCCCGCACACCCCCCACACCCTGCAGACCCTGCACGCCCCCCACACCCCCGCATGTCCCCCACACACCCTGCACGCCCCCCACACACCCTGAATGCCACCCACCCCCCGCACACCCTCAACTCCCCACACACCCTGCACGTCCCCCACCCCTCCGCACACCCTGCACACCCCCACACCCTGCACGTCCCCCACCCCTCCGCACACACCCCCCCACACCCTGCACGCCCCCCGCACACCCTGCATACCCCCTGCACACCCTGCACGCCCCCACACCCTGCACGCCCCCTGCACACCCTGCACGCTCCCCACCCCCCGCACACCCTGCACGCCCCCCGCACACCCTGCACGCCCCCCACCCCGCACACCCTGCATGCCCCCCACACATCTATTACGAAGCTTCTGGATCAGCTCTCTCTCTCTCTTTCTTCTACGAATCTTCTCAATATTTAATTGGTGTCAATCGCTTGTTGAGGAAAGGAAAATAAATATCAATCAGGCCACTTACTTGTACTGACGGCCATGAAAAAGAGAATCATTTTATTTCAAGTGAGCAACAAAATGTTTATCTTGTGATTAAAAAGATCCGTGGATCCAGCGGTGCTATTATCAGCGCTTTGTGGGGGGGGGGAATGTTCTAGAAGCGGAGCGCGTGAAGACGTTTCTACTAATGTATCTGTACTTTGACCGCGGAAATTAGCTGAACAGCAGGACATTCATTTTATCCCAGATCACAGCATCCTTGTTCACTGAATGATGATATTTATGGTGCCGGATTAAAGGAAAACTCCTGTAAATACATTGAGATGATGACAAACATTTTGTGTCATTTTGTCATTTAAAAATGATTTTTTTTTAAAGCCGACAAAAAATGTCAGATTTCTCTTCCTTGCCTACACATAGGAGAATAAATGGGTGGTGGGACTTTTTAGGACGCAGTGTGAAAAAAATAATGCATATGTAGCGCTACCCCCACAGGGGCCGCTTGATAATGCTTGTCCCCAGCGGTCGCCCTGACCTTGCAAGCCTCCCGACAACCTCTGGGTCCAGACATATTTCAGCAGTATAGGATGACAATGCAAGAGACACAATCCTGTAGTCACACCTCTATATTACTTGGTCTCTGTGATGGGAGTGACTTTGGGTGGGGGACCCATGGAACACAGCTCACTTTGGAGAGGTGGGGAGACCCCTGTCTCAGCTCTCCATATCCCTATTATGTGTAAGTCACCCTGTGCCTGTTAGGGGTACAGGGTGATCTGTCCTAATATTGGGTGGGCTTTGTTATGTGGTTGCATCCCATTGTTCTATTGTGTGTCTTGCTTGGGAGCAAACTATTATGAGATGTGTGTGTTTATGTGTATTAGCTTAGTGGGGGGGTGTCTCCAGCAGCCCTCCCTCCTGATGGGACTGTCTGCTGGTGTGAAGTTTGAATACCTGTGTGTCTCTTGTTACTAAATGTAGATTGCCCCGCCCTGTGTCATTATGCAGGGAGGGGATTGTCCCCTGAGTGTATATATCTTGTATCTGTGTTCAAATAAACTAGTCTACCTCCTGGTTTACTTCAAGACTGGTGTCGTCTGGATCTTGAGGTAACAATAGCCAGAGCCACTAGTCTCGTGTTCCAGAGCCTGAGAAGCAACGTCTTGATGGAGATACCCAGACGTGGGTGTGTGGGGTCCGTTACAGTCTCATATATAAGAACCATCCTTATGCATTGTGTTCTGTTGCTCTGAGGAAGGGAGTTCAACCTCCCGAAACGCGTTAGCATTTTCACACCGAGGACCTCAGCTGTCCACGATTGGCATCTTTGACTCCTTGTGTCCGTTTTTATGACCTTTTTGGTTTGTGAGTATGTATTTGTAATTTTATGATACATTTCTTACTATCATGGTAATGCACAAGGAGAGTGCGCCCTGTGTTGTTCTTTTCTGCTGGTATCAAGATTCCCCGACCTATCAAGGGCGGCACCTCAGCGAGTGCTAGATTTATTTATTTATTATTATTTTTATTTTAGGTACTTACATAGAACCATCAATTTACACAGATCTTTACAAATATATATATATTTTACATTCACATCAGTCCCCGCCCCCAAGGGGTATACAATCTAAGGTCCCTGACTCACATTTATAAATACACATACTACGGCCAATATAGACAGGAGCCAATTAACATGTCTTCAGAGTGTGGGAGGAAACCGGAGTACCCGGAGGAAACCCACGCAGGCACAGGGAGAACATGCAAGCTCCAGGCAGGTGGTGCCATGGTTGGGACTTGAACCAGGCAGAAGTGCTAACCATTTAGCCACTGTGCTTCTGTGTTATCAGTGCAGCAAGAAGATTTGAGCGCTGGTTTCTGGCATCTGTTGGTTTGGGATTTGCCAGGCATCTGTTTGTTGGGTTGGGATTTGCCAGGCATCTGTTTGTTGGGTTGGGATTTGCCGGGCATCTGTTGGTTGGGTTAGGATTTGCCGGGCATCTGTTGGTTGGGTTGAGATTTGCCGGGCATCTGTTGGTTGGGTTGGGATTTGCCGGGCATCTGTTGGTTGGGTTGGGATTTGCCGGGCATCTGTTGGTTGGGTTGAGATTTGCCGGGCATCTGTTGGTTGGGTTGGGATTTGCCAGCCATCTGTTGGTTGGGTTGGGATTTGCCGGGCATCTGTTGGTTGGGTTGGGATATGCCGGGCATCTGTTGGTTGGGTTGGGATTTGCCGGGCATCTGTTGGTTGGGTTGGGATTTGCCGGGCATCTGTTGGTTGGGTTGAGATTTGCCGGGCATCTGTTGGTTGGGTTGGGATTTGCCAGCCATCTGTTGGTTGGGTTGGGATTGCCGGGCATCTGTTGGTTGGGTTGGGATTTGCCGGGCATCTGTTGGTTGGG